GCTCCTGGGCCTGGAGTGCCCACCAGGAGCCAGGTCTGCGTTGTGGCCACTGTGGACTAGCCCCTGCCTTGCAGGTACTGGAGAAATGGGTTCCAGGTCAGGCGCCATTGGAGGCCCAGGGCAGGGAGGAGAGCAGGCCTCATGCCTGCCTCTGCGTTCAGCCATGTCCCCATTTCTGTCATTTCTGTGGCTTTATCAGTTCATTTAGATGTAAGTGAGCACGCACAAGTCCCTTCATGACCTGAATTGATTCTTACTGTAGCATGAAATCCTTCAATTCTGGTATGTCCAGGCTGCCAGCTTTTTCCTAGATAATCTTTATTTTCTCCACAAAACAACCCCCACCAACAAAACATTCCTGAAAACGCTGTGCATGCCGCGCTGGTGCCTCGCTGCAGAGCCTGCAGCTGCTGCGTCAGGTGGCCCGTGCGTGAGGGTGCCTGCTGCTCAAGATTTCTCACGTGACAGCGCTGGGCTATGGACCACTGTCAGACAGTGGAAGCAAGAGCTGCAAACTACAGCGTCAACACAGCAGGCTTATTCTTAATGGGGTTTTAACATACGCATTTGTGTGTGTGGATATACAAGTACTGTACACTTGGAGGCCAGAGGAGGGTGTGGGGCTAGAGTCAGCGTGGCTGTGAGTGCTGAGAGCTCAATCTGGGTCTCCTAGAAGTGCTAAGTGTGCCTTTAACTGCTGGACCCACGTCGATTTTAAACGTGAGCAGAACAGAGTGATGGAGGTGACGCCACAGCCCACGTGAAGCCCCTCCCTTTTTTACCCCTTTGTCCTACTTACGCTTTCAAACACCACATTATTTGTGTTGAGGCTGTGGACTTCCGGCTTGGCTTCCCCTTTCTGCACTTCCAGTTGCTTTCATTGCCACAAGGCCCTTTCTTGGTTTTGGTCATAGCATCTGTGAGTGCCTTTGGCGGTCAAGTCCCCTGGGCTAGGAGGTCAAGGTGACAGACCCTGGTTTTTAAGGGACAATCCAAGTGTCCTGTACACTTCTATTGGAAATCTAAGGGAGTGATGTCTGGCGTGGCGCGCTGGCGGTTCACAGGGCGGCTGCCCCCTCCTCTCAGGCGCACAGTGCGGTTGCTGTCTCGGCCACCCTCCCCTCCACCTCGTGCGGACCGCTTTGTCCCAGCCTGTGGCACTGGTGAGAAGCTGCAGGGCCTTTGAAGGAGCACCCACTCCGCTCTGAGCCTGCCGGGGGCTGCCTAGTGGACTCACGGCCCTCGGGACTCAGCCACCCTGTAGGCCCAGCTTCTGAAGATGGCTGCAAGCAGGACCAAGCCGTGAGTCCTTCCAGAGCTTCCCGTGTGCACCACTTAATATTTGTTTGCCGTTGTCATAGCAACCGCGGTGATAAATGGAGTGTCTAAAACAACCCGGCAGCTTGTTCTTGTGCTTCTGGAGGTCAGAAGTCTCAAGTGCTGAGCAGGCTCCCTTCCTTCCAGAGGCAGGTTCTGTGCCTTGAAAACCCAAGCTGGGAAGCCTGTGGCAGCCCTGGCTTTGCCTAGCCACATCCCTTCTTGCCAAACTCCAGCTTCTGAGGTCACAGTCCCCAGGACTTTGATGTCTCAGGAGACCCCGGGACTCGCCAGCTCCCCTGGGTCCTCAAGGATGCTGCCTCACACTGTTGGTTAATTCCATCATGTTTGTAGACCCCTGTTGTCCTCTGAAGTCAGTTCACAGTCAGGACGGTGTGGAATGATCTAGACCAAGATGGCGCTGAAACTTTCAGCCTCTGTGAAGTGTGGACTTGTGTTCATGTGATAGGCATCGCTGCTTGTTACCCTTGAGGCACAGGAGGCTGAGTGCTGGGCTCTGTGATCTAGAACCCCACAGCTCCCCAGCATTTCAGTCATACCCTACCGCAGGGCTTGGGACGGGCACCACCAAGTTCACCCTCTACATTTTACTGAAGCAGTTTTAGGCTGGGTGTGGTGGTATATACCAGAAATCCCAGGCCTTAGAAGGCAGAGGCAGGAGGATCACAAGTCTGAGGCTACCAGCGTCTGTTTGGTGAGTTCCAGGCTGTTCACAGCTATGTAACATGATATTTTCTCAAAAATCAGATAGAAGGAAGGGACAGAGGGAAGGAGAGAAGGAGTAAGGGGGTGGGAGGAAAAGAGAAAGAGATAGAAAAAAGAGAATATAAGGAATGGGGAAAAGAATAGAAGGGGATAAGAAAGGATGAGGGTAGGAGGTAGGGAGGAAGGAGAGAATGGAGGGAGAAAAGGGGAAGAAGAAGAAGGAAGCTGTCTTAGTTAGGGTTTTATTGCTGTGAAGAGACACCATGACCATGGTAATTCCTTTTTTTTTTTTTTTCTTTAAGTTCTCTTTAAGTTTTTGTGAGACAGGGTTCCTCTGTGTAGCCTTGGCTGTCCTGGACTCACTTTGTAGGCCAGGCTGGCCTTGAACTCACAGAGATTCCCCTGCCTCTGCCTGCCGAGTGCTGGGATCACAGGTATGCGCCATCACACTCGGCAACCATGGCAATCACTGACAAAGGAAAACATTTAATTGGGGCTGGCTCATAGATCAGAGATTTAGTTCGTTAACATCTTGGCAGGAAGCACAGTGGCGTGCAGGCCGACATGGAGCTAGAGAGGGAGAGTTCTTTATCTGGACTGGCGGGCAGCAGGAAGAGAAAGAGACGCACTGAGCCTGGCTCGGGCATCTGAGGCCTCAGATCCCACCTGCAGTGACACACTTCCTCCAACAAGGCCTGGACTCCTCCAGTACAGTCCCTGTGAGCCTGGGGGCCATCCTTCTTGAGACCAGCGCAGAGGAACAGGAGCAGAGTTGGAGTAGCCTGCGGACTGGCTTCCATGCTAACGCGCTGATTGTCTGCAGAAACAGTGACTTCCACCTCTCCCTACGCAGGCAGGGGTTAATAAGCCCCAAGAGAGGTGACCGTAGGTTTGCGAGGTGTGGGCGTGACACCTCTCAGAAGGAAGCTCTGTGTGGATGGGTCATGTCTGCATTTAGAGCCGTGCCCAGATCTTAAAGACGGAACTGCAAAGTGCTCCCTCCACAGGCTCAGATGTTCCAGAATCTGCTTTCCACACTGGCAAATCACAGCAGACAGGGTGTAATGAGGACACTGTGCCCAGAGCTGGGACAGCTCATCATGCATGTTAATATTCCCAGAACACTGAATACTTGGAAATGACCTAAGAGGGGAGTTCCTTGAGGGATTTGCTCATAATTAATACAAAATTATTCTCAAAGTATCTTGATGAGTTGGTTATAATGAATGCAGCATAATCCCAGCGTTCTTTGACTTAATGAAGTTTGGTTTCTTTTAGAGACTCTGGGATGGAGCATTAAACTGTAATGGCGGCTGGAGGATGGCTCAGTGGGTGAGGGCACTGGCTGCTCTTGCAGAGGGCCTGGGTCAGTTCCCAGAACCCACGGTGACTTACAGCTACCCACAACTTCAGTTCCAGGGCATGTGACACTGTGGGTACTGCAAGCAGAACCCACCACACATCAAGTTTAAAATGAAAATAAAAATGATTGTTATCCTAGTGTATAACCCGCAGGCTGGAGAATGCTAGAATGCTAGAAGGCCTTCCACACGCCTTCACAGAGTAGCTTGGTTGTGTGTGTGTGTGTGTGTGTGTGTGTGTGTGTTATAAAGCTTCGTGGCAATTTTACCTGATTTTGCCACAGAGCTACAACCCTCAGAGAAGCCTGTGCGATTTGGATAACATTTATCCAACTGAAAATTTACCACCTTCAGTGATAAAATTATTCCTTTTGATATGTTCAGGAAACGATGTGTGTGCTGGGCGTGGCTCCCCATACTGTGTGGAAGAGAGGAAGCGTCGAGGGTGGTGCTTGCCCAGGCTCCACCCTGCTGATGGGCGGGGTTTCAGGACAAGTCATTGTGGGTCCAGTGGAACTGGCCTTCAGGGGAATCCGTGGCCCTTTAGCAGATGCCCCTAGCATGTAAGAGTTAGAAGACTGACTTCCTTCACAAGAACATGTGTGTCGGCTTGCACTGGCCCCCACAGTCGTACTCATGATTTGTGTTTGCTCATTATTTTCTCCTGTCGCTTCTGACTCAGTTGTGTAAACTGTGAGGCTAATGCTAAATACAGTCATTGTCAAGATACCAAAATGAGTGTGAGCAGCAGCACAACATGAAACGTTTGCACCGACCACCCCACACCAAGAGCTGGTGGTGAGGGCTGCAGCGATAGCAGTAGGAAAAACCCGCCGCTCATACATTAGACGTGTCTTCACATTGTAATTAATTGCATTGTTTAACTGTGTGAGGAGAAACCCGCTAGCGCTGTCTCCCGGGGCCCCAGCTGCCTGTGCTCTCGGTCCCTGACTGACGGACCGAAGATCCTGACTTCTGGCGGCTGCGTGCAACCCGTTCTGCTTTGGTCAAGCCTGTGTTAACGCATGTTTCTGAGTGTGTTTGGGGGACCTCTTGCCTTAAGAGGCCCCTAGGTGTGAGTTCATCTGTGCAGCTGCCCTGCTGTGCCCGGAGGACTCTGGGTTCTGTTAGCCCAGGGTGCCCCTGGTACCCTGGCCACACTCCAGCGGAAGGCCGCACACCCAGGAATGTACAAGCAGCAGTTAAAATAGAAAGACGAAAAGCTGGGTGTGTGGGAGATGGGGAAGGATTAGAGAGGAGCTGGGGAGGGGTATTACCAAAATACGCTGTACAAAATTCTCAAAGAACAAGAGAGAGAGTGAGAGGGAGGGAGAGGAGGAGCGAGAGAGAGAAGGAGGAAGAAGGGAAGGAGGAGGGAGGGAGATGGGGGGGAGACCCTTGCCTCATTCCAGGCCCCTGAGCAGACGCTGAGAGCTCGAGGCTTAGAAACCTTCATTTTAAGCAACTTTCCCAAATAAACAGCGGAAGCGGCGTGCACAGCTCTCGCCGCCCTGAGAGCCCCAGTGGCCCGGCCGGCTCACGTGCCGTGTTCTTTTTACTGTCTTCTAACAGGCGCTTTCCCTTTTTCTGCCCCAGGACTCGTCGGCCACGTCTGCAACATGTTCATGGAGACTGCATCACTGTACCTGGACGAGGACAACAAGAACAACACGGAGCCGGCGGCCACGCTGCTGGCGTCGCTGCTGGACATCCTGCAGGCTATGCTGACCTACACATCCGGCGTGGTCCGGCAGGCTCTGCAGGTGAGCCGGCTGCGCGCCCGGCCTCCTGCCCGGGCTCGGTGGGGAAACCACCCCTATGTGAGGACAGCTTCTGCCTGGGGTACATGCTGGGGTTGGCCAGCTAGTGGGCAGCTCTCTCCGTCCAGCTCCAGCAGGAAACTGAGCATGCTGGGAACAGCAGACTGGATGGTTACACACGTTACATGTGTGTCGGAATCTGCCGAGTTATTTTACTCTTCTCACAGCACACATGATGGGAAGCAAGACCAGGGCGCGCTGACTCTGACGCACAGTTAGAAGGACGTCCCCTTCGTGGCGGGCAGCCGAGTGTGAGGTGACTGCTCCCACCGGGCCGGCAGTGGGGCACAGACAGACAAATGCCAGTGCCCGTCTTGCTCTCCCCTTCCTGTTCAATGTTGGCTTGATGCCCTTCTGGGCAAGTCTAAATTGCTTCAAGTCGCCGACAGAGGTGGTGTCACAGGTGTGTCTGTCTGTCTCTCATGCATTCCCCATACCTCCTCTCGCGTGCTTTCCTGTGTCACTGATGATAGCCACTCGGAATGGAGAGATGAATCTGAGTCTTGACTGTTCTTTTAGCCACGGACAGCATGAGTCAGCCATGACTGTGGCCCATGTTTGCTGCATCTTTAGTGGGTACTTTTGTGTGATCGGCGCCTCCCCAGGCCACTGGGTGCTCATTGACCAACTGTGTCACGTGATACTCAGATCAGCGAATGGCTCACTGCCAAGGTCAGTTCACTGGCTTCTTCATACCCAGGCTCGGATGGTCCCTCTCGGCTCGGATGGAGATGTCTCACCTCTTGTTCCACCCCACCCCCACGGGTTTGGTCAGACAGCGCTGTTCTCAGTCTGCTTCCACAGGGTGGTTTGTGAAGTTCTTTCAGATGTAGCCGCAGCCAGGCCGAGCACCACGATGATCATCGTGTGGAAGATCATGCGTGAAGGCTGTAGACTAGAGAAAAAGATCAGGAGTTTACAGACTCCGGCACAGAGAGATGTGCCTTTTCCTTCCAGATGACGAAGTAGACGAGGCACTCAGGATTTTAAAAACTAAAGCTCCTTAACACAGACTGTTCCCTGAATCTCAGATGGCCCACAGTCCAGCTCATCACGGTGGTTTTCCTCTTTCATGGCCTTTGACCCCATTGAACTCTGGCTGTCCTCTTTCTCAGTCCCCATGGCGAGAGGCGGGACCGCTGACTGGTCTCCATCTACAGGAAGCGCAGTCCTCAAGAGAGGAAGGAGTGGGGAAAGAAGCAGAGTGCTCTTCAGAGACAACTCTGCCCATTTCAGGCATAGATGCTTGCGGACCAGAGTTGCCTTTGCCACTTTAAAATCCTGCACAGGGGCTGTGCCTGTCAAGGCAGTGTCTGCATCACACAGAGCCCCTTTCCAGGGGTGAGCAGCTTTGTCTCCTGGGGAGGAGAGAGGCTCAGTGCAGGAGTGGGTGAGGGGGAGTGGTGACAGCAGCAGCCAGAATCTCCAGCATAAGTTCAGCGCCCACCCCAGTGGTCCTGTCCCTCAGAGGTACCCCTAGTCCATCTCCTCAGGTGTGGTGTATGAGGTAGGCACAGAGAGCTCAAGGATATGGCGGGGGTCAGGGGATCCTAGGAACGACGCCTTGCCTGTGGCCCTGGGCCAGTCCCCCAGCTGTCGGCATGCTGGTTTTCTTGTGCCTGAAGCAGACGCTGTAACTTGAAGGAGTTGAGACCTAACACAGAGATAGAGCATATGCCATCGTCATTTATACGTGCAGCCTGTTCCGTGCGCCCTGACCTCAGAAGTTACCGGCGGCCACTGCTTGCACCATGATCACCCTTGGAAGAAACGCTCCCGCCACCTTGCTGGCTTTTTCTGTTTCCACACTCACTCTGCCATCAAGCAGTTTGAGCTCTGTCTCAGGTGACTAGCTGTAGTTGCTTTTCTGCAAACCTCGGCCAGGCTTCTGTCTTCTCTTGCCTGGGCTACGGCACCTGGACAGGTGGAGGACACTGGGCGGCTAAGAATGGGTTGAGTTACAGCACAGCAGTGGCAAGGGGCAGCTTCTTCTTTCAAAAGAGTCAGTGGGACAGCAAGGACAGTGGCCCAGAGTACCCAGGGGGGAACAGAGAGCTGGGAGTCAGGACGCTAGTCCATAGTGGGAAGCTGAGATGGGAGCAAAAGGAACTCTGATTCTCCTGCTTCAATTGTTGTCTTGAGGCGTACTGCCTCCTTCTGCTGACCTAGGCCTACTCCTGGGAGCTTCCAGCCTCCGTACAAACTAACCCAGGCCTAGAATGTTTTCAGCCTCTGAGACTCACTGCCGAATAAGCTCACCCTTTCCTGTTCTTACTGAGCTCTGGGCTGGTTCAACTCAGCTGTTCTGGCTCAAACTCCTCTCCCAGCTGACTTAATATGGTTTTTCTCTTGGCCTCTGAATTGCTCCACTTGTTCTCAAACTAACTCCACTCTAACTGCTCTAACCTCCTGGCTCCTTCTCATTCCCTGTCTCATTCTATCTTCACCTGTGTCTAGCCTGTTCTCTCATTCAACCTCTCTCTGTAAAACTCTCCTGGTAAAACTGCCTCCTCTCTCTCTTCATTGCCCCTAAGCATTTTCCCTTTTCTCTCTCTTCTCATGAGAGTTGGGTGAATCCTATTCTGTCAAATCTTTCTCTGATTTGTCACTTTTTTTGCCTCCCAATTAGACATCACTTTCGAACACAGGTGCTTCCTTCTACAAACTTTACCTTCATTGTTTGGGATTAAAGGCGTGTACCACCATGCCTGTAACTAAGCTTTTCTTTACCCGAAACCTGCTCTACACCAGGCCCGCCTTGAACTCAGATCTTTTGCTTCTGTCTCTTGGATTAAAGGCATGTCTGTATTCCAGCTGGATCACACAGACCTAGAAGGTCTTTGGATGCCATTGCTCACCCGAGCAGCCATGTTCTGGGTTAACCCCTCTACACTGGTCCTCTGTGGGGTGCCATATCCATTCAAGGCCCCTCACTGCACAGGGCTGTCCTCATACATGGGTCGTTTGTGAAGGGTGCCGCGAAGCTTTTAACACCTCCTTGCAAGCTGCCAGGCCATGCAAAGCTGAGGTGTCTCTCCGGAATCCCTACCCACTGCAGAGGTGGCACACGGCTGCTGCAGACAGAGCGTAGGCGTCGCCTGATGGCCCTCAGGACCCTGTAGACTCTGAGGGACCACCGCTGTCCTGTGGACCAGGGCCCAAATGCAGGCTTGCGTGGCCACGCCTGCTGCCTCAGGTTTAGAAAGGGAGTGCTGGCCCAGGGCCTGCTGCGGCCCACATCCGGCTTTGCAAACCTATCTTAGCCTTTGTAGGAGACACCAGTGCCAGCCCCAGGAGAGCGCGCTCATGTTTAACGTGCAAAGGCCGATACTCCGCCTCAGCCCGTGCCTCAGCAGGTGAGAGAGCGGGGTGCTGAGAGGTGCAGGTCTGCAGGGTAATGGGGCCACCAGGTCCTCAGCCAAGCCACATTTCGTGTGCAGGCCTGAAATGGGGGGCCCTGGAGTCGGGGTTTGTGACCTGGGCTCAAGAGGTCAGGCTGAGGCCTCATTCTAGAAGCAAAGACAGAGAAGCCCCGAGCGCTCTCGAATTCTAAAGCTCAGGACAGATTCGAGCCTGTTCTGAAAATAAAGCTGCTCACTCTGGTGAAAACCTTCATGGTGAGTCCTGTGGCGCCCAGGAGAAGACACAGCGCAGATCGGCAGGTCTGGCTCTCCCCCTGCTGCACTTCAGGCCTCCGTGTAACGGTTAGTGTTGCCAGGAAGACAGGCCTCTGGGCACAGCTGGGAGGAGTTACTCAGCTGTGTGAATGCACACGGGAGACACAGTCCGGGCAGGGATCCCAGAGTGGAGGCGGAGAAGGCAACTGAGCAGCTGCATTCACGGCTCCCTGCTTCCGGATGGCAGATGCAGGGCGACAGGCTGGGACTCTGCAGCAGGGGAGTGACCAAGAGTGTCCCGAGGGCTGGAGAAGCAGCCTGGTTACCAGCTGCGGGGTGGGCAGACACCTGAGCGTTGGGGTGTTACTTGAGCAGGTGGATGAGCTGAAGAGCCACCTGGTGTGTGCCACAGGTGTGCACAGAAACATCCAGGGTGTGGCGGGACTTGGCATTGAACGGTCTTTGTTTGACCCTTGTGTGACCTTTGCTCTTGTTACTTAAGTGACTTTAGATAACCAAATTAAGGTTTCTTTATCCCCCAAATTCTTTCGGGGAGTGTGTGAATGCCATGTGTGCGTGTGTGGTGTATGGCATGCATGCATTCAGGTACACTCACACGCCAGAGGCGGAGGTCCAGGTCCTGCTTCCTGGTTTCCTCACACCCCTGGGTGCAGGGCCCTTTAGTAAACCTGAAGCCAAGGTGGAGGCCAGCGGGGCTCGGGGCCTCCTCCCCCCACAGACACGTTAGTGCCGGATTTGGGTCCCTTCTGTCTGTGTAACAAGCACCATCACCCCAGTCTGAGATCCTACCCAGACTGAGATCTCCTGCGCATCCATCTCCTCGAGCAGAAAACAAGGCCGGAGTCCAGGCTGGCTGGGAGGAGAGTAGTCACGCCCGAGGGTGGGATGTGTGGGAGTTTTTACAGAAATCCTTCTGTGGGTGCCTATGCTTGAACACATGCGCTGTTTGGGACGGTTGGGAGCCTTTAGGAGGCGGAGCCTTGTGGAGGAAGTGTATTACTGGGGGTGGGGCCTGGAGGCCTGGCCTCAGTCAGCCCCTGGCTTTGGTCCTCTGCAAAGTCTCTTGTCTCGTTGGCCTGGACTGTGCTGTGCCCCAGGCTGGCCTGGACCTCGAAGGGCCGCAGAGCAGCTGAGGTGAAGAAGGGGCCATGGCCTTCCCCGCAGGGCACACACCCGTGCCCAGTGCCGGGGGCTGTCCAGTGTGCACTGGGGGGCTTTGGGGCCGCCTCACTCTCCGATGTCTCCAGCCCCCACCCCACCCCACTGGCTGCTCACACACCTATCACTTCTGCTTCGTTCCAGGCCCAGAAGTCAGGCTCAAGAGCGGACACACAGGCCGCCGAGGACCTGCTGCTGCTCAGCAGGCCGCTCACAGACCTCATCAGCCTGCTCATCCCGCTGGTAAGGGCTCGTCTGTGTGCCGAGTGTGAGGGTGTGTGTGTGTGTGTGTGTGTGTGTGTATGTGTGACGGTGTGTGTACTTTTTCAGAAAGGCTGAGCCTGAAACAGTTTTCTCTGGGTTTCAGGAATGTGTGTGCTCAATTAAGGAGGGCCAGATGCCATTGTTGTTTAAAAATCTGAAGTTTACACTTGATTCTGAAACCAGGTGGCTGGTTATTCACTAAGGTGACAGTCAGTGTCCCATTAAGTGAGCTCCAGAGAGGCAGGCGCACAACATAGGAGGTGAGCCCGCTTGACGTACACACGAAGACCCTGTCTCAAAAAGGGTAGGTAGGTGCAGCCAGCCAGCCAGAGGCAGAATTAATAGAGGAATAAGTGCAGCAGAATCAAATCCAATTACTTTTTGTTTGTTTGTTTTTGTTTTTCCGAGACAGGGTTTCTCTGCAGCCCTGGCTGTCCTGGGCTCACTTTGTAGACCAGGCTGGCCTCGAATTCACAGAGATCCACCTGCCTCTGCCACCCTGAGTGCCAAGATTACAGGTGTGTGCTACCACACCCAGCCTAACTACTTTCCTAATGAAAGTGTGGTTTTAAAAGGTGCAGTGAACTCCCCTAAGAAAGGACAGACCCTGTGCTTCCAGGGGAGATTCCGAACTGTGAAGAGATAGAGGGGCGCACACACAGGCCCTGCAGCCCCACGCAATCCTGGCAGAGCAAGATGGACACAGGCAGGATTGCACAAGGCCCCTGAGTTTCAGCAGCTCCAACCACACTGAAAGAGCCCAAAGCGGGGGACAGGTGACCCCGCCTCACACAGCAGCCCCTGCTGGCCGTTGGTGAAATTCTGAAACTTTGCAGAAAGCACAAGGTGGTGGGAGGGTCTGTGGAAAGGAGGCCTGTTCACACCTCCAGAGCCGATGACAGCCTCAGGCTCCCACCTCAGGAGGGCTGCAGCTCACTGGTGAGGTCATGACAGCCTACAGCTGCTGCTCGTTGCCCGGTGGCTTCGGGGGCTGCCCAGGCACTGAGGGTGAGCAATTCCACAGGTCTGTGAGGTTGCCTGGAAGTCCAGCTCAGGAGGATTGCCAGGAACTTGACTCCAGCCTGGGCAAGTCCCAGGCTGACTGTGTCACAGAGCGAGGCCTTGTCTTAAAATCAAGCAAAACAAAACAAAACACAGGTAGATGACAGAAACAGCCCTAAAGTTTGGGCTGGAAAAGCACCGATGTTCCCAGCAGCTTCTGTCATAAAGTACGAATGACAAGGAGAGGTAGGTGGTGGGAGGTGGCCCATGGGAACCCATATACCCGCAGCCTAAGACGTCACTGCTGTGTTCATGGCCTCACCTGCTCCGCTTGGCAGGACGGGAGAGGACGGCAGGCATTGCGGAGCACTTGTGACCTTAGCGATTGATTCCACCAACAATGGTCAGGGCCTGAGGTGGTCCTGGGCACTCGCCAGCTGGGCTGGGCTCCGTCAGCACTGGGCGGTCTAGCTGGGCTGGCACAGGGAGGTTCTCTTTCTAGTTCAGCGGGGATCTTATGAAATCCTCCTTTTCTGTGCCTCGGGGCCCACCTCTGCTTTCCAAAGGTGGCTGCTAGAGTGGTTGACTCTAGAGACAGAAGCCTGGGTGAATTCTGACCCCAACACTCCGTGATCCTCACCAGAGCCCTCACTGGCCTCGGCTTAGCTCTGAACCACGACACCCCAAACTCCATTATGTGCAGAAAGAGCCAGTGGCAGGGATGCATCAGGCTTCAGGGGAGAGGTCTGGGTGATGGGACAACCATTCTTCACAGCTGAGGCCCTGGGGCTCCAGGAGAGGGCTGAAGAGAGGCCAGCCACAGACGGCAACGGGCACGGTGCTTGCCAGCCCCGCAAAGATTGTCTCACACTCCCGAACATAGCCACACCCAGTTCCTTGCAGATGTAACGAGGGAACACAAATGAGGAAGAGCTGCCGTCACCGTGCAGGCTGCAGCTGACCTTGTCGCCATCGCCATGATTGCTTGCCACAGCTGCTAGGCCGCTCCGCCTTGGTGCTCCATCTGGTGACAGACTTAGGCCTCGGGGGAGGAAGGCAGTCAACTCCCGTTCCAGAGTCCTGCCTCTCTCCCTGTCTGTCCACAGTGACCAGGTCTAGAGCGTAATCAGGCCACGGTGGCTCCTCACCCCGGAGCAGGGCAGAGCTGGACTTGAACAGCCTTGAGCACGAATGTAGAAGATGGCATCATGTTTCCAGCCCGAAGCACCTGAGGTTCACCTTCTTTGAGGTGGGCAGGTGGGGCCCACCCTGCCTACCACACCTATGCTGTCTTCGGCCCCGCCCGGCAGCGCCTCAGGCATCCAGAGAGTTCCGAGGGTGGCACAGGCCTGCACAGAAGCACCGTTTACCTTAAATTCCTTTATTTGTTACATGACCCAACGTAACAGCCAGGGTCTGCCGCTCCTCGCTGGGCATCCCATTTGCGTTGAGCTTAGATGAGGACAAATCCCTGGAGAACACGACACAGGGTCCTGACTTGACGGAGTCAGAGGAGGCTAGAAGTGGCAAGGGACGGCCACACAGCTGGGATCTCGGGTGAGGGACGAGGCCTCCAAGGCCTAAGGAGGAGCAGGCCCTGGCGCCTGCCCCCTCCCTGTCACCTCTCCTTTACAAATTTTCTCCTGGACACAAGCTGCTGCACAGTCCACAAGCTGCTGTTGTGACTCTTGTCACCGGCCAGGTCTCCGGCCTCCCCATGCAGTTCCCAGCTGGTGTCCTCTGCCCCGAGGACCGCCTCTCACTGACCCCGCCGAGTGCTGGTGTCTGTCGGTGCCCGTGCTGGGTGTGTGTGAATCAGCACGGACCGCCCTGTCCCCGAGGGGTCCCAGCTCTCTAGAAGCTGCCTGCTGGAGGCGCTAGTGCGTTGGTGGGCATTCGCCTCACGCACGTGAGCTGCCTCACTGGAGCCTCGGCTTCTGCGTGGCCTGTGACAGTGTCATCCTGCGTCTTTTCTGGGAGAGATGAACTCACATTTATAGCTTTGCACAAAGTGAAGAGAAATCGCCATGAAGCCACTGAGCATCGACAGCTCACGTCCCGAGCGAAGATCAGTTTTATAGAGGCTGCTTGAAAACGCAGGAGGAGCCTGAGCCGCTTTCCTGCGGGGAAGAATAAACAGACTTTTGAGTTTTCATCCAACTTGGGTGAACTCAGGCGTTTGGCCTAGAGGCAGGAGGATGAACTTGGCAGTTTGGAGGCTGTTTCCAGATGTGGCCTGAGGACAGCAAACACACCCAGAGGCCTCGAAGAATGTGAGGCCTTCTTGTGAGGTGGTTCCCTGCAGACTGTGGCGCAGGCGTGGTCTTCTCGTGTTGGGCCATGGCCGCAGCTGCCTTCAGCCTCCCGTTGGTGGATGAGGCCTGCCAAGTGCGCTGAAATCGCGTCCTCACTGTACCGCGGGCTTATCTCGACATGATTCCGTCCCGAGTCAAGAAGCTTCTACGACGTGCGTTACTCCTGCACTACACTCCCGTGAGTTTAACATGTAAATCAGGCCTTCCTTAGGGTGCTGGAAAAGGTTAACGAGGGAGAGATAGCAGTCTCGAGGTAGGAGCTGTGTGCTTCTCCACCCCAAACTCCGAATGCTGCCCACAGCCCTCTGCTGAGATCCGGGGACAGGCTGCATCTGACTTGTAGCAGGTAGTCTGTCCCGGGCCCCCATCGCCCTTCTCTGAGGGCCCCTGAGACATTTTCCGAGTGCTGAGGTAGAGCTGCGCCCCGTGGCTCTAGCTGGGTTCGCAGAGGGCACGTGTCCACCCAGCCACTCTATTTGCCCTCCCGTCAGGATATGCCGTCCAGGTTGCCAGATCCGCCATGGTGCCAGTGCTCGTCCCCGGCTGGCAGGGCTGCAGCAGGAGCGCACAGTTTCTCCTCAGACAGTCATGTAGAACCCCCAGCCGGTGGGTGCTCTCGGGCACAGGGTGGGGGCCGCCCGGCGAAGGCGGCGGTCCTTGCTCTGTTCTCACGACTCTGAGTCCTCTTTGTCTGAGCTCATGTGTGTCGGACTCTCCACACAGTTCATGAGGGTTTCCCCGTCTCCCACACCCACACGTGAGAACGTTGCTTTCTCTGCCTCTCCTGGTGCACAGCACAGCCCATATCTCTCTGTTCAAGCCTGGGGCCTAGGACAAGGGGCCGAGGCCTGTCTTCTCAGAGGGCGGGCTGTGGGGCTGCTGGCGTCCCTACCTCACAGGACCACCTCCTCCCCAGCGTCTGCCCTGTCTTTGCCATGTCTGTCTGCCCTGGCATTTGCTGGCTAGTTTGTATTTCTGAAACCACGTGTACCTCCCTCTGACTGACAAGAAGGGCACAGTAGCACTGCCCAGGGTCTTGTCACGCTTCTGGAAGGTCACTGCTCTTGCAATCTGTAAAAACAAGGCCGCCTCGCACTCCGGCAGCCCTGGTGACTGCAGAGGCTCTGAGCGTTGACTACGGTACCTCTGTCTGAGGCCATGCCATCCGAGCGTGCCCAGCCTCATCAGTGCCACACGCTGTCACCTCCTCTGCAAGGAGAGACCGGGAACGCGGCAGCCGCTGTTAATGACAGGAGCTTTAAGAAAGGAAGCTTCCAGAGGCAGCTGTGTCCCTCCGTGGCTGCAGCGCAGCTTTGGGACCCTAATCTACGCTGGGAAAACATTCACTATGAGAGAAAAAGGATCCTGGGATCGGCTCCCAGACAATGCTCCTCATCCGTGGATTACCCACGATGCAGTAGCCTCATCCCTCCCCAGACCCACGCTGAGGGACTGATGCCTTGGGTTTTGTGACTTTCCCTGGGGAGATTGTCCTCAATCACTGAGGGAAGACCACAGAGCTGGCTCTGCCTGAGTCTAGCTAAGGGACCCAGTGAATCGGTCGGGGTTTCTGACCACAGCACAAGTAACTCAACGGCAGCACATCTGCAAAGAGCCTCGCCAACATGGCTGACGGTTCAAGAGCTCTCCCGACCCTGCAGA